TATTCTATAAATTTATTTTAATTAATAAAAAAAGTTTTTAAGCTCTTCACTTTCATCTCATTAAGTTCTCTATATTGATCTAGAGTATATTTTATTTATAAATCTTATTTTTATTATTATTAACATTTTTTATAAATTTAACTTTTAATTTATTTAAATAAATAATTTTTATTATAGAAATTATCACTATTATTCATTGATTTTTATTAAAGCAAAGATTTTTTAGCTATTTTAACTTAATTATCTATTCAATTTTTATTTATTTATTATTCATTTTTATAATTTGATATTTTTTGTTCATTTTTTGCTATTAAAACTTCCCCTTAATAAAAGCAGTTTATTAGTTTTGGATTGTTTTATTTTTAATTATTTAAGTTAATTTAAAACATTAAAGCTCATTTAATTTATTTGATTTATTTTCCTTTTTCTTTTTATTTTAATTCTTTGTTAATTTTATTATTATTAATTAATCATATTATTTCATATTTTTTCTTCATTTTTTCCTTCAAACTAACTAGAGTGAAATGCCTATTTAATTTACAAAAGGCTAAATGTAATATATCTTAATAACATAATAAATAAAGCTAAATTAGCTTTAAATAGCTTTATTTTTGAGTTTTTAGAAAGCTTTAAATTCACAAAATGTAAAATTTGAAATAATATATATCCTATATTCTATCAACAGATCATTTTATTTGAAAAAAAATAAGATTTAAAATTTTTTGATTAGGTTCTGGTTTAGCTAAATGCATTAATCTCTCAAATTTGACACTTGATCTTGGGTAAAAAACAGTTTATTTGTTTTGGATTGTGATAATTAACAATTTAATGAAACATATTTTTTTCAATATTTAAAAAGTAGAAATTCAATTGGGGCAATGGGTGCATCAGGCTTAGGTTCTGGTTTAGCTAAATGCATTAATCTCTCAAATTTGACACTTAATCTTGCGTAAAAACAGTTTATTTGTTTTGGATTGTGATATTTTTAATTATAAAAACTAATTTAAAACAATAAAGCTCTTTTTTAATTTTGCTTGCTTTTTTTTTGTTCTTTCTTTGTTAATTTTACTCATTCATTTATTTTCAACTTTTGCTTTTATTATTAATTAATTAATCTTATTATTTCATATTTTTCTTCATTTTTTCCTTCTAATTAACTATTTACTGATATATATTTTTTCAATATTTAAAA